CTACAGGAGATCGAGAAAAAAGAGCCTTGGTGGATTTTGTGTTTTCTCATTGTGGTAAAATATACACAACAAAAAATCTATCACTTTAACCATTTCTAAGTAACTGGTTTAGTGGCATTGGGTACATTCACAACGTTGTACAACCATCATCACTGCCCATTTTTTAAATTTTCTTTTGGGGAGGGAGGGGGAGAGGGAGAGGGAGAATCCCAGGCAGGCTCCATGCCCAGTGCAGAGCCTGCTGGGGCCTCAATCTCACAACCCTGAGATCATGACCTGAGCCAAAATCTAGAGTTAGATGCCCAACCGACTGAGCCACCCAGGCGCTCCCATCACTGTCCATTTACATTTTTTTCATCATCTAAGAGAGAAACTCATTAAACAGTAGCTTTCCTTTCTGCCCTCCCCTCAGCCCGTGGCAACCACTAGTCTACATTCCATCCCTATGAGTGTACCTATTCGAGAGAACTCATGCAAGTGAGTCATACCATATTTGTCCTTTTGAATCTGGCTTAGTTCATGTAGCATAACATTTTCAAGGTTCATCCATGTTGCGGCCTGAGCCAGAATTTCCTTCTTTTTTCAGGCTGAATACTATTCCGTTGTCTACAGAGACTACATTTCGTTTATCCATTCACTTGTTGATGGACACCTAGGCTGCTTCCACCTTTTGGCTGTTGTGAATAGTGCTGCCACGAATGTTGGTGTATAAGTATCTGTTTGGCTCCCTGCTTTCAACTCTTTGGGGTACATACCTGTTAGTGGAATTGCTGGATCGTATGGTAACTCTATGTTTAACTTTTTAAGGAACCACCGAATTATGTTCTACAATGGCCACACCAAGCCTTAAGCTATTTAAATGAAGAATCTATTCCAAAAGCCTCATGTCAGCCTGGACTGGAAAGATGGTCTAAAGTCTAGAGTTCAGGGGGCCAGGGCCTCACTGGCATGGGAAACGTGGGTGCCCCATCCTACTAGCCACAGGAGATATGACACCCTGGAGGATCCAGAATAGGGTGACCAAGAGGAGTCATGTTAAGTAAAAAGCGGTTGAAGGGACTGGGGTGTTTGGCCTGGAGCAGAACGCGTGTCCTCTCCACCAAGAACAGTCTCTCAGAGTGTGTAAGGCTGCCATGGGGCAGAGCGGGTGAACCCGTTTGTAGCCATGGAGGCAGAGGGAGAGCCGGGTGAAACCCACCAGGAGGCCACCTCTGGCCAAATGCTGCTCTGAGAGCAGGCTATAGAGGGGGTTCCTGTGATGGGTCACAGCCAAGGCTCCATGACTCGGGGCGGGGGGGGTCACCAAGAAGACAGCACAGAGCAGGAATCCATGCTTCATGGGACTCTTTCAGTGCTCTTCTGTCTTCAACAAATGGAAAGGTTGGGCTCAGATTTTTTTTTTTGGCAACTGACAAAATCTTGGGCTTTCTTTTTTACACAGGAAATCAGGAAGCATAGTCTCAATACAAATAGTGTAATTGCTGGATTATGAGTTTCATTGTGATAAATTTAAACATTAATAAAAATAAAATATTTAAGAACAATCATCTTATTTGAATGGTTTCTCTAGAAGTTGGAGAAGAAGATGTGATAGAGCTAAGAAGAGTTTTAAGACTTAAAACTCTGCTTTAGGGGCGCCTGGGCGGCTCGGTTGGTTGAGCATCAGACTCTTGGTTTCAGCTCAGGTTATGGTCTCAGGATTCTGGGATCGAGCCCCGCATTGGACTCCACACTCATCGCGGAGTCCGCCTGAGATTCTCTCTCTCTCTGCCCCTCCCCCACTTGTGCTCGCGCTCTCTCTCTCTAATAAATAAATATTAAAACAAAACAAAACTTCTGCTTTGCTCAGGTATCCTAACCCCTTGGTCACCTCTACAGGTGGCTCAATAAACAGAACACAAGAGCACAGCTGCAGCATCCTGAGGATGCATTTCTTCTTGAAGCTGCCTCTCTGGACCACTCGTTTCTCAGCCTTTTTGTTGTATTCCTTTTTTTTGTTTTCTGAGTCGTTTTTATTACAGAAGCAATGCGTGCTTCAGATAGTTATTAGTGCTATCCCGCAAATATTTGTGGTTCCCCTGTGGGGCACGTGGGGCATTGCATTTCCCCCCTCTCTTAAAGTGAGCTGTGGCCACGTGGCTTGTTTTGGCCAATAAAATGAGAAGTGACCTGTCACTTCTGGGTGGGAACCTTAAGAACCCGTGTGCAGTTCACATTTTCTTTCTTTCTTTCTCTCTGCCTGGCAGCCTATGACACCCCAAATGCTGGCTGCTCTGTAAGCCCGGGTCCCTGGAGGCAGGCCCCCGGCCCACCCTCAATGGACATGGAGCCCGAGGGAGAAAGAAACCTTTGGGTCAGCCCTCCAGGAACTAAAGCTTTAATAAGAAATAAACCTTTGTTGTTTTAAGCCACTGAGATTTGGGGGTTGTTACTGTAGCATAAATAGCTTGTTAGAAAAATCCTTCAACAAATATTTATATGCCAGAGTGCTGGTTATGATGTCACAGGGCCCAAGGAAGCCATCAACAAGCCGACCAGCCCTGCTAGCAGAGAACTGCATTCTAGCAAGGAAGATAACCATTTATCGATCAGCCATTTAATTGTAAAAGTATGGAGACATGGGACACCTGGGTGGCTCAGTGGGTTAAGCGTCGGCCTTCAGCTCAGGTCATGATCCCGGGGTCCTGGGATGGAGTCCCGCATCGGGCTCCCTGCTCGGCGAGGAACCTGCTTCTCCCTCTCCTTCTGCCTGCCGCTGCCCCTGCTTGTGCTCTCTGTCAAGTGGATAAATAAAATCTAAAAAAAAAAAAAGTATGGAGACATACAGAGTCCCGCAGAGCACATAGGGCACATGACCGGCTTTGGCCCAGGATCCGGGAGACTTCTCTTGGAAGATACGAAGCTGGGACCTAAAGGGTGGCCGGGAGTCAGTCAGGGGAAAGGGAGACTCGTGTCCCACACAGAGGGAACAATATGAGTAAAATGTCTGAGGCAGAAGGGAGCCAGAGTGGCTGGAATGCCGAGAAGAGGGCGCAGACGTGCTGGGAGGCGGGCAGGAGGCAATGCCCCGAACCACTCAGCGCTTGTGGACCTTGGTGGGAAGTCTGGTCTTATCCCAAGAGCAATGGGTCACCATGGGAATGTTTAAGGCAGAAGGGTCACATGATCATACCATATTTTTAGAGGGCAACAGCCAATATAGGATTATCAAGGTAAGAAAGGTCAAGTGACGCCCAAGTTGGCTTTGACCGGCAAGACATGATGCAGCCCCCAAAACCAACAGCAGGTGGCGCTGCGTGCATGGCTGCCAGCCACCGGGAGCGCGTGGCCACTGCGGTGACCCTGCTTTAAGCTGGGGCATCTCCGGGCTCTCACAGAAACTCAGGGACACACGCCGCATCCTCCCACCACCAGGGGGAGATAAGGAACACACTGCAGGGCCGGGGACAGACCTGGATTCTGACAGGAGGTTTGCCTTTGTGCACCAGTAGCCGAAGCCCCTCGGTCCTCCCTTCCATGTTTACGCTCATCCCCTATTTTATAGAGAAGCCGGACGCAGGAGGACCCCTCATCCAACAGATCATGATCCCTGTTCCCATTCTCTCACCCTCCCGGACATCTCTGCTGCATGTGGCCCCACAGACCCCCCTTTTCTCCAGGCTTCCTCACCCTCCTCCTCCATCTCTGACAGCCCCTCCTCTTCCTTCTGTCCCATGAAAGGAGACTGTCCCCATGGCTCCTGACTCAGCACAACTTTCTTATTTCTACAACTGACTAGCCCTTGGTTCCAACCATGAGCTTGCATTGAATACATCTAAACCTACACTCCTGGCCAACCTGTCTCTCTGAGCCCTAGTCCCAAATTCCCTGGTGCCTGCAGGACCACTCCCTGGATTTCCCACGACCACCGCGTGTCTCCCAGGGAGAAGGTCGGCTTCACCTCCCTCGTGGCTTACAGACAGGTGCCCACACCCAGTGCAGTCGCCAAGGCCGAGGAGCGGGGAGCGGGAAGGAGAGAAGTGGTCCGGGGCACGGCCGTGTCCTCCCTCTGGGCTCCACACATCTCTCCTCCACCTCCTGAGTTCTGCTTACTGTAGGTTTCTGCTTTTCCGCAACTTCAACTTGTGGGGGACCCCTGGGGCTCCAGCTGTAGCCTGTGGTCTCTTTCTATGCTTCCTCCAAGCGTCAGCTTCCTACGTGCCTCGTTCTCCGGGTCTTTACAGGACAGACAGAGACTCTGATGGACCCACCTGGTCTTACAATAGACCAGGCTCGTCGTAACAGCCAGTGGATGAGTTTTCAGGGGTCAGGAGCCTCCCGCTGGTCCAACCAGCTGTGCCTGAGGAATGGGACTGGTATTACTGGTCAGGTATTACTAAACATGAACACCAGGATAATTCTTCATGGGATTGGGTGGGGGGGCGGTTAGCGTGGTTGACAGGAGTGCTGTCTTTTCCCCTAGCTGTAATTCATCCCCTTATAGACAAGATCCTGGAAAAGAATTTGCTTATGCTTTTTTCTTCACTTCCTCACCTTTCTGTCACACATCTTTCCTCTCTCCCTTTTTTTTTTAAACACTACTTTTGTTTTTTTTTTAAATCTCAAGCCTATAGAAAGGTTGAAAGAAAGTACAGTGAACACACAGACCCTTTACCTAGATCAGCGTTCTCAACCTTGGCACTGTAACATTTGGGGCTGGAGAATTTGTTGTTGTGGGAGCCTGTCCAGTGCATTGTGGGATGTTCAGCAGCATTCCTGACCTCTACCCACTAGATGCTGGTGGCATCCCCTCAACTGAGACAAGTAAAAATATCTCAGACATCCCCAAATGTCCCTCGGGAGGCAGAACAACCCCCAGTTGAGAACCACTGACCTAGATTCAGGAACTAACATTTTGTCATATTTGCACAAACTGTGTATACACATGTATCCATATGTAAACATACATATATGGATGTATATATTTCCTATATACATGTAATCATAGTGAGCAAATGTGGCAACATGTTAAAGTATATATTTTATACACACACACATATATGCACACTTTTTTCCTGAAGCATTTCAAAGTGAGTTGCATACATCGTTACCCTTCCACCTAAATAATTTAGCTCCTGAGGACAAGAACATCCTGGCATATAACCACGATAAGATTATCATGGCCAAGAAATTTACATCAATACAGTATTATTTTAAGCCTATATTCATTTTTTCCTCACTTTCCCAGTAATGTTCTTTGTGGACTTCTGGTCTGCAGTGTCTCTGCCATGATAACACAGCAGACACACCAGCGAAGGGGAAACAGAGACTAACTGCCCCCTATCATGACGGGACCTGCGCATCAGCCTCCTCCACTCGGTGTAAACCGTGCCCCATCAGATCCCATTAGTACTTCCTCGATTCCAGTGCTAAATAGCCTTTCTGCTCATCGTTTAACCATCTCAAGAGAAGAAAGCATTTCCACTTCCAGATGATCTTCTTAGCCTTTAAATGTCTGCCGCCTGGCATGTCTCTGTAGCTCCCTAGATGATGTCATCCGTGCTGGGGACAAGATCAGAAAAAGCCTCTGCAAATGCCACCTCCCCAGCGTTCCAATAAGCATTACTGCTCAGATACAAGCTCCGAGCCGAGCGAGGCAGAGGAGGGCGTGAGACACCCTACAAGTTGAAAGACTCAACAAGCATCTCAGCCCCTGGTTAGGCCGCATTAACTAGAGCCCAGCTCCTCCCCGGATGCGGTCCAGCAAATTCCCGACTCCCATCCTTGTGCGCTTTGACACGTCCTCCAGGTGCTGCTTGCTCAGGTTCGGGAAGGACTGAACTGGAGTTTGCGTCTCCACAAACAGAAACCACTTGGGTCCGTCCCGGCAGTGTCTAGCAGAGTGGGAAGGTGCTCCCTTTCCAAAGCCCGTCCACAGAGAACCCACAGGGCCCCCCTTCAGCTTAAGAGCAGCACCAACCTTCACCCGAGCGAGCGAGGGCTCCTCTGGCCACTAGTCAGGGTCTCACACGACGTCTGCGCAGGTGGGACAGCCATAGAGGAATGTCACTGACAGCAAGCTCACGTGCAGCGCGAGCACCCCACTTCTCTAGTACAAGGATTCGTGTGATTGCCTTTTTTCCTCTGGTATTTATGAAATCCAGAGTCCTAGGTTGCAGCCTTTCTTAGCAGACTTCGTGAATCTCTGAGAGCCTCACCAGGCAACCTGCGGCATCGTTACAAGCAATTCAGACAAACGAGATCATCCCTGCCTTAGAGGCGTCAACTTCAGGCCCACAGCTGTGACTGGAGAGCCCAGTGCAGGTTGTCAGCACTGGGAGCGTGGTGCGACATGCCAGGAAGACACAGCAGGAGCAGGGACGGGATGCTAGGTGATTCAGAGATGGTGTTTATACTTCAAATGCCTTTCCTTCCAAGTTTCACATTTGGGGCTTTTAGGCCTTTTGGACTGAAGAGAAAGAACTGGAGTTTTATCTCTTACGTGGATCATGGAATAGCAGCAGAATGCCCATGGCAAGTTTCTAGCACCTGTTCCATAACTCAGGGTCAGCCACGTTTAGAAGGAAGCCCGCAGAAGGTGGAAGGAAGATGTAAGTGTGGAGGAAAAGCGTGGGGAAGAGTCCAGTGAAATGGAAAGAAGGGAGAGATGTGTGCTGATTTGCTCCCTTTCCCGGCACCGGGACACGGTTCCTTGTCAGCTCCTTTGAGTCATTTGCTTATATGCCCTAGCAAGGTCAGAGTGATGATCTCAGTCTTCACCGGCATCCCTGGCTAATTAAAATCAGCCAAGAGTCAGACTGCTGAGAAGAAAAAATTATAGAAACAAAGTATTCATTATTTTTCCCGAAAAAGATGAAAAAAGGAAACAGTGCCCAAGAGAAGGCTGTTCATAAGCAAATCCTGTGCTTTTTGTCATGTCTTTTTTTTTTTTTTAAGTAGGTTCCATGCCCAGCGTGGAGCCTGAGGCAGGGGCTTGAACTCACCACCCTGGGATCAAGACCTGAGCCAAAATGGAGAGTCTGCCACTTAACCAGCGGAGCTACCCGGGTGCCCCAGGCATGCCTTTTCTATGTAACAAACCCGTTTAGGCAAAAGAAAATCATTCATGCAGGCTAGAACTGCCTTTTGAGAACAAAGTTTATTCTGACCCAGAATTATAATAATTTTTAAAGTCCTATCAATTCCACCACGCTTGGTAGGAATTACTCGGACTTTTTCCCCCCTTGACCTCTTCTAACTATAGCTGAATTTAGCTGGCAAGTAAAATGCATTTCTTTATCCTTAACTACCATAGAAAAGCACACTTAGCTTGCATCTCAAATTGTCTTCAGTAAAGTCTATTTTGCTTGCAGTAGTTGTGTTATCCTGATTCCTCTTCCCCAAGTTCTGCTCTCTGTGAAATGCTATTAAGTCTTGTTTTTCCCTTTCTTTGCTTTGGGAGCACCTGGCCAGCGGAAGCCCCGCAGCTGCAGGCAGTCGGCCACGTTGTGAGCAATGTAGTAGAGGTTCAGCATGGCAGCAGGGCTGAGAACGTCCACTTCCGGTTTCTTCTGTTTCTTCCTGCGAGACTTGCCTTGGCCTTTTCCTCGTTTCCCTTTACCTGGCTTTCAAAGACAAGTATATACAGGGCATAAATTAGTTTTTATAACCTTGAAATAATTTTCAACATTTCCTTTTGAACATAAGAAAAATAACTCCTGAAAACCAAAAAACTGTAACAGTAACAAAAATTTTTGCATGGAGTGAGAGGAGAAGTTGCGTGCAGTCTAATTCAACAAATGTGTATGAAGGACCCAGATTAAAAGAGACCCAACCAGGGGCACCTGGGTGGCTCAGTCGTTAAGTGTCTGCCTTGGTCTAGGGTCATGATCCCGGGGTCCTGGGATCGAGCCCTGCATCGGGCTCCCTACTTGGCTGGAAGCCTGCTTCTCCCTCCCCCACTCCCCCTGCTTGTGTGTTCCCTCTCTCGCTGTGTCTCTCTCTGTCAAATAAATAAATAAAATCTTTAAAAAACAAACAAACAAACAAAAAAAGAGAGACCCAACCTAATCTAACGATGGGGTGGACCTTGTCTGCATTGATTTGAACAAACTGTAAAAAGACATTTTTAGGCAACCAGGGATATTTGGTAATATCAAGGAATTATTAATCCTGTTAGGTGTGATAATGGCATTGGGTCATGGAAGAAAACGTTTACACGTTTCAGAGATGCACACTAAAATCTGAAAGGAGGCCTCAGATTTGCTTTAAAATACTGCAGCTCCCCTACTTCCCCCCAAAAGACACATGAAGCAAATGTGGCAAAATCCTGACAATTTCGGAGTTTGAGAAATGGGTATATGGGGATTCATTTTACTATTCTATTTTTGTGTATGTATAGAAACTTTCATAATAAAAACTTAATTAAAAACATTACATAATTGGGCGCCTGGGGGGCTCAGTTGGTTGAGCAACTGCCTTCGGCTCAGGTCATGATCCTGGAGTCCCTGGATCGAGTCCCGCATCGGGCTCCCTGCTCGGCGGGGAGCCTGCTTCTGCCTCTGACCCTCCCCCCTCTCATGTGCTCTCTCTCATTCTCTCTGTCTCAAATAAATAAATAAAATCTTTAAAAAACAACAACAACAAAAAAAAACATTACATAATTGGATGCCGACACATATTTTGGCATTTGTTCCGCTGTAGTCACCCTCCCATTTAGCAGTCAGGAGGGTTGAGACAAATACAAGGCACTTAGCATAGTGTCTGACATGAAGGAAACAGTAAGTGGTTGTCCCCATCACTTTATCACCACTAATCCTCCAAGCTGAGTTTTGAGGGACAGAGGCATTATTCCTGTCTTCAACATGAAAAAGTGGAGGCTCAGCACGGTTACCGTGCAAACCAGCATCTACCAGCTCAGCACCTGTGCTCCGGCCATGACCTTGCTGCCAGGCCAGTGCCTTCTGGGAAAAGGAACGGTCACCAGCCTAACGTGGGAACAAACTGTCTGACGTTTCGCTAGAGCCACACAAAGCTGAGCTGACTTCTCGATGTCTAGGACCCCCCCGTAAAGTAACAGATGGAGGTGTATCATTTAGAAAGTGTCTCTTGTAGGCAAGGGAAAGGAGAGGACTGTGTAAGTTATCAAGAACATCTGCAAGGGCTAAATATTTGTATAAAATAGATGCCATGTTGATAGCATCTCACTTTAAAAATGTCCCAGGCTAAACAAAGAGAAACATACTCAATGTATTAAAAACACTAAAATACATTTTTATTAAGTGAAATGGAATACACTCCTAGATACAAAACTCAGGAATGAAGATGAGAAGTATCTTGCAACACAGTGGCCTGGCTTTCATGTGGAAATCCAAATTAAAAAAAAAAACCAACAATATGAAAACCCATATGATAACTGTACCTCCTGATAAAAGATCCCCTTGGAGTGTAGGATCCATAAACTCTTAAAATTTGGGGGTCTTGGCTTTATTTATGATTTTATACTTTTTTGCATGTCAACCATAGGACATACCTGGAATAACTGCCCCCAAAAAGTGTTTTCATCTCTAAAATAGTTTGCTTATAACTAAAACTCACACAAAGGTTTGATATTTTTATTCCAAGTTCTCATCTTTTTGTAGAAATTGGCAAACTGACCTAAAATTTATATGGAAATGCAAAGGACTCTGAAAAAGAGCAAAGTCGAAGGACGAATGCTACCTTATTTCAAGAATTATTATACAGCTACAGTATCCAGACAGTATGGTATTGGTGTCAAGATAGACAAATGGATCAATGGAACAGAATAAACAGTGCAAAAATAGGTCCACACATAGACGAACAACTGCTTTCCAATAAAAGTGCAAAAGCAATTCAATAGAGCACGGATAACTGACGACGGATAGAAGCAGAAAAATGTTCTTTAGCCCAGAAGGCTGACCTATAGCCTGCATAGTTCCGATAAGGATCAAATACACACTGGTTGCTACATCCTTAAAGGGTCTCATGACTGCCTGTAAATCTCACCGATAGTTAATACTGAGCTGAATGATAAGCGCCAGAGAAATCTTGTGAAAGTAGTTTTATGAGTAGAAATTCAAAGAAAACATTTCTGATCTAATACTCCCCTCACATCGCCTCCCCCTTGAGCACTAAGCATATAACCACCAGCTTTGTACAACAGATGTCTTTCTGCCCAGGGGTCCTGTCCCTGTGCTACTTAAATAAACTTACTAAGTTGCACTTAAAACGTCTCAAGAATTCTTTCTTGACCATTGTGCTCAACAATCCAGCAACAATAATTTCCTCAAAAAATGGGGCTGGAACAATGCATATCCATTTGCAAAAAGATGAAGCTCAATCCATGCTTGTACCATATGCAAAAATTAACTCAAAATGGCTCATATACCTAAATATAAAACCGAAAAGTATAAAAGTCCTAGAAGAAAATACAGGAGAAAACCTTTATGACCTTAGGTTAGACAAAGATTTCTTGGATCTGACATCAAAGCACAATCCATAAAAGGACAAGTTGATAAATTCACCATCAACATTAAAAACTTGTGCTCTTCAAAAGATATTGCTAAGAAAATGAAAAGCAGACTGGGAGAAAATATTTGCAAATCATATATCTGATAAAGCCCTTATATCCAGAATGGATAAAGGACTCTGAAAACACAGTAAAAACACCAGAAAACAAAAAAACAACAAAATGTGGTCAAAAGATTTGAACAGATACTTTCCCAAAGAAGATATACATATGGCCAATGCGCACAAGAAAAGATACTCAACATTAGGGAAATCCAATTAAAACCACAATGAGATACCAGCGCACATTCATTAGAATGGCTCAGGTTACAAACACTGACCGGACCAAGTGTTGGTGAAGATGTGGGGGATCTGGCACTCTCTCACACTGCCGGTGGGAATCCAAAATGAAAGAGCCACTCTGGAAAACAGTTTGGCAGTTTCTTTAAAAGGTTAAGAACACACCTCCCATATGATCCAGCCATTCCACTGCTAGGTATTTACCAAGAGAAATAAAAGTGTATATCTGTTCTAAGACTTATACATGCAATGTTCGTAGTAACTTTGTGCTAGCTAAAAACTGGAAAGAGCCCAAAAGTCCATCAGTGAGTGAACGGATAAACAAACTGTGGTATAACCATACACTGGAATACCACTCAGCAATAAAAAGGACTACTGATGCATGCTGCAACTACAACATGGGCAAATTTAAAAATAATTCTACAAGTGAGAGATGTCTGGCTGGCTCAGTCAGTGGAGCATGCGATTCTTGATCTCAGGGCTGTGGGTTCGAGCCCCACGTTGGGTGCAGAGATTACTTAAAAAAATAACAATTATACAAGACCAAAAACCCCATAAATACTGTATAATTCCACATATAAAAAATCCTATAAATTACAAACTAATCTATACAGACAGGGCAGATCAGCGGTTGCCCGGGATAGGAGGTGGAGAAGGGCGATACACAGAGAAGCAAGAAAAAAGGCCTGATTCCAGAAGAGCACAAAGGAGGCTTCTGGGGGTGATCAACATGTTTGTTACCTTGATTGCAGTGATGGCTTCATGGGAGCATACAGATGCCACACTTATCAAATTGTACATTAAAATATGCGCAATTTATTGTACATCACTTACACCTCAATAAATCTGTTAAGACAATCTTGTGAGTGAAAACTTTCAGTTTCTCGGCTGGTTGGGTCTGTTCAACACAACTCCATGGCTCTTGGCTGTTTCCGGTCCCAGAACTCAGAGCTCCCGACTTGAGACTCTCCAAACTCCTTAATGAAGACGACTGGCTCCCGCCACACTGGCCTCCCTTCTAGTTCCCAAACCTGCTCCACCGCTCCCCGCTGCCGCCTCTTCCCGCAGACCTTCACAGGGGAAATCATTTGTTACTTCTCTTTGTGTGGGGCTCTCCTCAAATATCACCTCTTCAGAAAACTCTCTCAGATACTGTGTCTATATTCTATCTACAACTAGGGTGACCATATAATAATATAATTTATTGTCCAAACCAAGACACTTCAACAAACATAAACTGGGGCCGTCCCAGGCAAGGAGGGAGGGTGTATGGATGGTTTCCCAACAACCCTCTCAGCCAGTCACTTTCTAGCTACTGACCCCAAGCACACCCCACTATTTAATTGTGCTATTCTGTTCATGTATTTATTGTTTCCTAGCCAGAATTTTGTCTATGAGGTCACCACCGAATTCCTAGGGCCTAGACCAATGTCTGGCACATTTGTAGGTATGAAAGATATCTGCTGAGTGTATACATTGCAACTCAGATGCAATTCAGTCTCAGGACTTAGAAAGCAAACGTAGATATCTGCTTTTCTGAATGTTAAGATGCCTTCTTCATTCGTTCAACAAATATTTAACAAATATCTACTGAGCACCAGGACCTGCAGTTCTGGGCTCCTGTCTTCATGAGGCTTACAGTCCAGTGAGGGAGAAATTGCAAACACATTTACTCATTCTCCTGTGAGTGAGAGCACAGGGTCCATTATAATGTCACAGGATGGACAGGGAGTGACCTAATCTGGGACAGGAAGGAAGAAGGGTTCCTGAAGAGCAGCAGCCTGTGGGCTGAGGGGCAGGGAATTCCCAGGCAAACAGCTTGTGCAAAGGCTCTGAGGCTGGAGGGAACAGGCCAAATTGAAGGGACCTCTCAGAAAAGGTCAGTGTGGCTGGCCCATAGGCAACCCCAGTGGGGGCGCAGAGGAGTTTAGGCTGGGAAGGTAGGCAGTGTGCAACTCTGGCCTGCAGGCCTTGGAAGCTAAGGTGTTTAACTTTTATCCAAGGGCCAGTGGGAATCCATTAGCTTAAATGGCTTTATGAAACCGTTTTGCTTCAGTTCCCTAGGCTCTGAAAGAAAATGACAGTACCAACCACGCACAGTAACCAGGGGAATGACACAATTTAAATCAAGAGACATCTATTTAGTGCTTTTATATGCAATGAAGTAGAAGGAACACAAAGATCCACCAAACACATTTCTATACTAGAGGCAAATGGGGGTGAGGAGTGAGGCTTTCCAAGGTGAAACAGGCGAAGCTCTTGTAAGTGAGGTATAGAGGGTCATGGGGGCTTTGGGAGCAATATGGCAGCAGGGGGTACTTCTGAGCTAGGCCCATGTTGAAGAAAAGTAGATCAAAAGCTTGAGTCGGGGCAGGTGCAGGAGGCTTCAAGAAGAATGTGGGTCTAGTGTGGGATGAGTTTTTTGTTTCATTTTGTTTAAAGTAGAGAAGTTAATATGGCAAATAAAGCGCAAGAGGTTGAGGCCCCTTTACCTTGGGCTCTGAGCGGTACTTAGTTGAGCAGACTGGAAATTCCCGAGGTCCTGGGTAGGGGTTACAAGGTCACAGCCATTCTGGTGGAGGAGGAGGACAAAAGAGATGGAGAGCCCCTGGACAGAGGTAGTGGACTACGGCCAGAGTCCAGGCAGGTGGTAAGAAGGGCAGCACTTGACCGAAGGCAGCGAGGGTGGGAAGCAGGTCGAAGGGACTGGATGAGGGCTGAGGAACAGTAGTGCTTATGAGTTCGAGGCCAGGAGAATGAACATGCCATTGCAAAGTGCTGAGAAGGAAGTGGTTAAAAGACCTGGATTTTGGGGCACCTGGGTGGCTCAGTCGTTAAGTGTCTGCCTTCGGCTCAGGTCATGATCCCAGGGTCCTGGGATCGAGCCCCACATCGGGCTCCCTGCTCCACGGGA